CTTCGAACATTGTAGATTCGCCCTGGACAAACAAAATAGTTAGTATGACAAAGTGACAATTTGGAATATGTCCACCTTTTTCGAGATCTGCCGCACTGTGCGACGGGCCCCTGCGCGCTGCGCGCGAGTACTTTCACGGCAGCATTGTCTGCTGATTGATCACAGGGCGTCATCCGCCCGGGGGGAGGAGAGGAGGGGGGCCGGGGGAGGTGGATGTTTAACGAGGCATATTGAGTCCCGGCGATATGCATCCCTGCAACTCGTATGACGGGCGGCGGCGGCGGCGGTCGTGTTATTGTGACAACGCGCGGTGAATGACGACACCGTGTTGCATGGGCTGTGGCGTGGTACAATAAATAAAAGTTTGTCGGCTAGGACCGTGCTTCTAGACTCAAAGTTCAGAGCCTTATATTTGTTCGAGTGCTCAGACACCAGTGCAAGAACTGTAAACAGAGGTGGGGGTATTTTTTGCACTGGTCAAGAAGACCAATCGCCGTGTCGTGGAAAATTAGAAACTAGAAAATAATATCACAGACGGTTCTGCTTATGCAGTGATGCGTGATGCACCCTGCGAATATTTTTGTAAAACGTTTCAGATACCTTATTTCCTACTTCACGTACGTCCACCGTTCGCGGTTGCGAACCTGCCAGAGCCTGAATGCAAGCTCCCATAGCGCCTGATAGGTACGCAACATCGTTCTGCAGTGCATGCGTGTACTGCCGGGTGGCCTACCCCCAGTCTCGCATGCGCCTAGCTCCCGCAACATACCGACTGTATCTCAGAAAAGCTAACGTACTCTCTGCTCTGGACGATCCATGTGTCAGGGAGTTTAAAAATCCCAACTCGGTAAGAAACCTGTGGAAGGGTAGAAGGCGGTAACAGCACGGAGAGAAAAACAAAACTGAGTTCGGATTGTTCCTCTTACCAGTGCACGTAATCGGTTTCAGTGTCAGACCGAAACCCGCCGAAACCTTTAGACTCTGCACCAGAACCTTCGGTGACTCCGCCTGTAAAAGTTTGGGTAGTACATTTCTTTCAAATTTGTCCAAACTTTTGGGCGCGTAGGGCCCGACCTTTTCTCTCCGTGAGAGTGATGCCGATGCTGATTTTTCAGCGCGTTGCAGGGCGGCTAGGTTATGTCCGGCGCGGCCGGAGCGCTGCGGCGGCGTCGCCATGGTGCCGGCTGGAATGCAGTGCAGTGTGGGAACGTCCGGCGGGGCCGGGCCGCGCGGTCCAGCGGCGGGAGGCTGACCTGTCCCGACTGTCCCCTCGCTGTCCACAGGATGGACAGCAGCTGTGATTGCTCGCTTGTTGTCCTGCGCCGGTCATCGCTTGCGACGCCGCCGACGTCGAAGGAGTTGTATTAGGCTGTATTGCACCGCTAAGGGGGTTGCCGTCGACGCGCTGGCGTCCATTTTTCTGGTTTGCCCGCCCAGTAGAGCCGCATGATGTCCGATCAGCTGAGAGGGAGCCGTTGCCGTTGCGGTCTTCGAGGCCAGCTTCTGCTGCTGCTGCCGCGCGCACTCTCGGTGACTGGGCTTGGGGGCGGGGGCGTCCCTCGCCGCGCCCCCGCCGACCGACTGCATTCGAAAGAAAAACCACATCATGAGCAGCGTGGTCATGGCCGACAAATGATCCGATAAGTGAAGGCAATTACGAGTACAATTTAATCACGAGCGGGTAATTGCTGGCGAGGTTGGGAGTAGTAGTTTGGGCTTGGCTCGCGAAGACCTCGGGGTCATCTGTTCTACTCGGCAGAGTACAAGGCGAGTTGGGTGCTCGAGTCATGCGGGTTGTCCCTGTTGGGTCACATGCTACTGTCAAAACTAACTTCCGTTATTTTTAGAAAATGTTTTCATAAAACGCACTTGCTCTTTTGTGTCCGTAGTACATGAAACACGAAATTGGCCACGTCTACGCGCATGCAGCATAGCAGTCACAGTGCTCACATAACATTTTACGTCGGCAAAATGAGACTGCTTTCAAACCAGGTGCGACTGGAGAACAGTTATCTCACCAGCCAAGTGTCCATCTTAAAGACGAGGAAGAGTTGCGTACGGCAGCGCAGAGTCAAAGAGAAGGCGACACGAATAGTTGGGCAAACAGAGTGCGTGTGTGGGGGCCGGGCGGGCCCCATGGAGCGAGGGCGGGCGGACCCGGGCGGCGGGCCGTGGGCAGCGCGCTGGTGGAGGTGTCGCGAGCAGGGGCCTAACTCCCGCCGCGGCCACGCGGGGCGCCACGCGCTGAGTCGCGGTGCGGAGGGGGCGGGGGCCGGGCGCGGCGCGGGCGCGGGCCGGGCGGGGGGCGCCGGGAGGGGGAGCAGCAGAGCGCGGGGTCCGGGATGCTGGCTGCTGCCGCTGCGGCGCGCCGCGGCCCGCCAGTGGTGTTCCGGCCGGCGCGCGACTCACGTCCCGAGGTCCTCGCCGTCATGCCATGAGGATGGAGGCGCTGGTGGACCCGGCGGACTCGAACAACAACCAGTCGGGCCTCGGCCCCGTCCCCGTCGCCGGGATGGTCGCCGGGGCCGGGGCGGTCGACAAGTACTCCCTGCGGCCGCGCTCCCTCAAGAAGCGCGCCGAGACGGAGCTTCGCCGGCAGCAGGCCGCCGCCGCGGCTGCCCAGCAGCACCTGGCCGTGGCGCTGCAGGGCGGCATGCGCTACGTGCAGCACCAGCAGCACCCGCCGTCGCCCGCCCCGGTGGCGCCGCCCGCCGCGACCACGCGCCCCAGCCGGCCCAAGCAGAAGCCCGCGCCGCTCAGCAAGTACCGGCGCAAGACGGCCAACGCGCGCGAGCGGTCGCGCATGCGCGAGATAAACGTGGCGTTCGAGACGCTGCGGCGCGCCGTCCCGCACACGTCCGCGCCCGCCTGCACCAGCGAGAAGCTCACCAAGATCACGACGCTGCGCCTCGCCATGAAGTACATCGCGGCGCTGTCGCAGGCGGTGCGCGAGGCGCAGCAGGAGGAAATGGGCAGCATGGACTCGGTGGACGCGGCGTCGCCGCTGACCCTGGCCGACGACCCGACCGCCTACACGCCGCCCCTGTTCGGCGCACCGGACTCGCCGTGCTCGCTGGGCTTGGGCCTGCCCACGTTCGACCAGTTCCGCGGCTGCGGCAGCGCCTCCAGCTCGTCGAGCCTCAGCGCCAGCCAGGGACTCGGGGACGCCGACTTCGCCGACCACAACTCTCTGCTGTCGGCCGACTTCGCCGACTTCCCGGAGCCCTCGCTCGGCATGGGCAGCATCGCCGACCTGGTGGACCCGTGCCTCACCGCCGTGGCGCTCACCTCCGATGACTTCTACGACGCCACCTTCATGACGGATTTCAGTTAGCTGTGTGTTTCTAGTGAAGTACACGTGTTGCCTGACGCACTGCCAGCCCCGTGCCGGGTCCGCCGTCGGGCCCGGGGTGTACTCGCTTCCGAGGGGATTCGAGCTGGCGAGTGCCGACACTTCACGGGGTTCGAATCCCGCCGGAAGCGGCCGACACCGTTCGAAACTATAGCATCAAAATTCTTGTTCCCTCCGCGCGTCGAAGCAGGGCGCGGGTATTGGAAAACGACCGTCGTCTCCGCCAAACGGCTCAATTACTTCGTCCGAATGAAAGTGTGCTTTTTTTGTGGGAGCGGCCGATTGTGTAGACTGGTGTGCCCACGGGCCGCGCCTGCCGCGCCTGCCGCGGCGTGTGCTGGGGTGAGGGATCCAGGTGGGCGATCCCGGCCTAGGCCGCACTGTACAGGAAGGGGACCGGGGTTTGCGTGGGCATGCACTGCAACACTAACGGCCTGCCCTGCCCTGCCCCGCCGCAGCCAAAGCTATTATCCCGGCTATGAATGAATGCACACGAGGGAAGAGTAAGCCGCGCCCAGTCAAAACGTCTCATTTCGACCAAACAAAACGTTTCACAGCGTTATTCTCGGGTTTCTTTTGCATTTTATTTTGCCTTTACTGACCTGATTTTGTTACTGCCGTATGCGGACCACAAGTTGTTTTTTTTGTATTTGTTTGTAAGATAAAAAGATGTACCTGTAACGTTTTGTGATCTGATGCAAAGGATATTGTACAGGACGAGTAGATTTTCGGCAGAGTCGCATTTTATGCGCGTGCGCATCGGAGCACAGAGAAGAGAAGTTCGTAGTAAAAGTTGACGACGAATAGATTTTACTTCTCCCTTTTTTTGTATGATTCTTCCTCATTTACCTGACGAGATTCGCTGCCCTGTCGCCGTGCAACGTAAATTTCTATTTGGTTACGAAAGACAACGAAAAGTCCCCTCGACGAAAAAAAATAACGTGTGGGCGAGACCGCGGAGGAGGCGTGGTGGCGTCGCGGTAGTCGCTCCGAATGTGCTGTCACGCCCCGGGCCCTGTTTATGTGGCGGAACGGTTCAATCGCTCGGAAGCAAAACGGTCTCCGTAAGCCTACTCCCCTCCTCTGACTTCCTCTCAATAATTTAAAAGCGGGCATATATGCTTCGGAAAGGGGGGGGGGTGCTCCTCCTTGTGTTGCCCTTTGATCTGTGGGAAAAGAAATTTGTTCGACTTTAAATAGGCGTCGGAAAGTTAAGTGGGTTATCATCATGCCTGTCTTATTTTTGGCTAGTCTGAAAGTCTGCAATTGCCTGTCTGAATTTTATAGCCTCTCTCTCTTATTCTTTTTTCTCTGCCAACTGTAAAAAGAAAACATACAGCAGCGTAACGTACACTTCGACGTGCCGCTCGCCAAGAAGTATTTTTCACAGTGTGTAGAGCTCCAAAAGGCCTATCGATGACGGTCTTCTTTCGTTTCCGTTCACGTAGGATTCGTCTCTCTCTGTATTTTTTCTCTCTTGCGGAGCCTTTGTTTGTCTTTATCGCCTCGTCCTTCCCCGGGATGGGAGAGTGGGGTAAGGACGTCCACTTGCGGCTCGTCAGGAAAAGTGCCATATGAGCATTACTTTAATATTATTCTCTTGTTTTGCCATGCCAAACCAGCCCGTGAAAATGCCATAATGCCATATAATGAGTAGAAGGCCTGCAAGAGACCTTATTGCAGTGTCTTATGTCCTGACTTTTTCCTTATGTGTGTAATTTATAAGAATGAATGTAAATGAGTGCCAGGCGTTGTGCAATTGCCGATTTATTTGTAAATACACCAGGGTATGCGTGTAAATCATGTGAGAAAATATGTTTAGTGTGTTTATAACGTAACGTCATTTCTACCGTCCTTATGTTTAAATGTATATTTTTCGGGTAAAAATAAATAGGTTTAAATTTAAGGTCTACATATCATTAAATTATTGCTAGGAAAATCCTTACTCTTGTTGTAATTTGTTGAATAATTTTCAGAGTATATTTCGGTATTGTCTTCGTAAGTACTGATTTTCTAGATCGCGCGGAGCGCAAATTGTATTTTCTATGTAGTGTTTCGTCTGTAGGGATGTTGTGTTACCGATTGATGAGAGGAGATTTGTTCTTGCCTGCAAAGAGTTGTGAATTATAGAAAACCTGTTACTAGTGGTATGCATTATCTGTTCACCACTGGCCCCATCCCTGGCTTATCCAGTATTTAAACACACAGATCATTGAAATAAACAACCTATTTTTCATTGCATGGTTTTGCGAAATACAGCAGTAGCGCGTCTACTACTGCAACAGACTCTCTTTCTCAGAAACGCCGACGTGCTGACAACAACCTTTCTTAGTTTTGGCTCGATGTATCGTCACCTTGAGTCGAATCATACGCCCCGTTTGGAAACTTGTCCGCGAGCTCACCTTACTACATGCACTCAGACGAAATAACAAGACAGTAGAAAACCCTTTCCAGTAACCTGTTGGGTAGTGCTTTGCTTCGTACGTCTTGCCACAGATCAGATACCCAAACTACGGATGAAGTCGCCTAAATCTGAAAATTTTTGAATGTCCTTTCAGCGCTGCTAGTCGGGGGCAAAAGAAAATGGGAAAGTAATTTGCATATTTTCTTTCCCACTCCCACGCGTTCGCATTTCAAGTTCGCCCTTCTCACGATTCTCTATCAGCGCCACTTCGCAAAAATAGTGCAGAAATGGTTGTTTGGCTTGCAGCTGGTAGCCGGCGGGGCGGCGGCGCCGCGACGCACTCAGCCGCTCTGATGCACTCGATTGCGCTTTGGCCCTTTGCCGCATTCCTGCACGTGACCCGTCGTGACTGACGGCCACAAAAATGGTCGCCGACAGTTTGTTTTTCATGAGAAATCGTTTAACGAGAGCCTCGTTTCGGGAGGGCGGTGCGCAGTCCTCAGTGCGGGTAGCAGAAGCCAAAAGGTAGGACGCGGAGGCGCCTCGGCGGCTCCCGCGCTCCAGGGAAGTCCGGCGGCGTGGCATCTCTAAAGTGTCCACTCAGTCGCCGAAGAATATGATCTCCAGACTGCACTCTAAACATTTCATGTTTACACCATACTGTGTGACAAAAGATCATACTCTGTGTGTAAGTGAGAAATCGTTTGTCTATTTGACAAATAATATCATGAATATTTTTTTACGTCAGACAACTTACAGTAAGAGCAAATTAAAACTTAATTTGAAGCTCAATTTTAGAAATTTCTTGTTCCACAATTATCCGACCGGGGCCGACTTCTTATGTCAACTAACATTCAAAACTGTCACTAGGTTGCGTTGGTGATAGTGGTAATGGTATAGTGTCGCCGTAGCAGGTGTGCCGAGTCTTTAATAAAGGAACGTAAAATAATCGTCATTTTAACTGTAAGGACAGAAGCGTGCGACATTCGAACATTTAAAACTCCGTTCTAAAATGTCACACGCCACAGTGTACATGCTAATAATGCCACACACAGAGGGGTATGTGACTACCATGTCATGCCAAGCGTACACTTTTTGCTATGAATCTCACTGTGAAAAACAGTAGTAGTTTTGCGAGAAATAAACAAGTCACACCCCTACAGAGGCATTAGAACTACCCAAAAGTCTTAAATGTTAATAATCTTGAAAATTTTTGGCGCACTTTAAACTTATATATATTTAAAGCCTGCTTATAAAGCATTAAGCCCTACCTTTCTCTTTGCAGTGTTCACGCTGAACTAGGGCCTCGTAACTTATTACTTAACTGTCTTTAACGTTATTTTAAGACGCTTAATGTAACTTTTGCTGTACGTAGTCCTTTGGAAATAAGTTAGTTATTCGACTTGTCAAACTTTTTCAAAATTTCAAAATCGATAACTTTGAATTTAAATTTGACATGTGTTTTGTTCGGTTTAATTAAGTAACACTCGTTCGTGTTATGATAAGTGACAGAGCCCTGCGTTGAACCGTGTCAAAACCGTACTGGAAACACAAATTTGCCACTTGTACAACGTCTGCAGTTTGTCTTTTTTTGTGTTTGTAAATTCAAATTCTATGGAATAACCTGGTCTTTACAATAATTACATTCAAGTACCTACTACACATGGTTTCCAAAACGAAATAAGACGGAAATGTTTTCGGCGTCCGTTTAGAACCCATAGCCGACTTTCTAACCCGCGCGACAGTGTGTGGTGTCCGGGCCGGCCCCTAATTGCGAGCCTGGTCTTGAATCGTAATTGATACCGCCACCCAGGTAGCCATGCCCCGCCCCGCCGGGCCGCTACTGCCGCCGCGCGCCCCTCTTGCCTGCCTTAAGTCAATATTAACGTGCTGCCGCAAAATTATTATTACCTTCATGATTATCACTCGTAATCCCTCTGCGATTCGCGACACATATGCAAAATACTAAATCCGCACGGTAGCAGGAGCGGTAGCAGAACCTTTGGGACCCCATGCCGTTTGAAGCAGATCACTCACACACTCACGCTCAAAGTTCTTAATCGAAAGAAGCGCTGTCCTCATATTTTCTAAATTCCCGTCGCACCTTGCACACTACCACGTATTGCAGTGCAAAATCAGGGAGCTTTTTATTTTGTTTCTAAAGCATGGATAAATGTTAAACGCTTGCAATCCTAAGCGAAGGTGACGGCGTTCACGCGCGCCTCTGGCCGCATTCCAAGCTGGCCCTGCAGGGCCCGGGCCGGGCCCCCTGCTCTCGCGGACGCGTCCCCACGCTCACGGGGTGCGGCTGTGAGAGGGCTGCGTGTGCATCGGCGAGGTAGCGCGACGAACTTGACTCAACACGGGGATCACTGCGTAGCTCAGCGGCGGCGCCGGCCCGGCCCGGACGCTCTGTTGCGCGATTAAATTAAACTCGTTGTTGACTTGTTGGACACTGATGGATAAATAGTGGCAAGTTTGCGTCCACGTTGTGAACACAATTTATATTAGATTTTCTAGCTGATCATTCCTTTGAACACCTATACTTAACAAAACACAAACATACAAGTAACGTCAAGGTGTCGGCTGGCTTGAACACTTAGCGATATGTCGCGTAAACGTAGAGGTCCGACACGTCCCCGGTAAATCGCTCTACAGTAATTTGGAGGTATATTAAGCAAAGTTTCAAAAATCCAATGCAATCTTTTGGACGTAGATTAACTCACGTTTCTGTTACGTCCACTCTGTAGACGTATTTCAAAGTCGTATAAAGCTGTAAACACACAGTTACAACCTTAGCAATCAAAATTCTAAAACCGTAGGTACGAAGCATTTGCTTCGTATTACGAAGTATTTGGCATTTTCGTTCGTAAGGTTTTAACAGTGCAGTCGGATCGCAAAACGTCATGTCAATTTTTCTTTTCTGAAGAATAACCATTGTTTACATTACTTACCAAAAAATATGTTCCTGATTTTGTACACAGGACAGGAATGAAGTCCAACGAAATAGCGCCATATTGAAATTTGTTCCACGGAGTGTGGAGTGATAGCATGGGTGCTGTCTCAGTCAAAAGAAAAACATCAAGGGTATGTCATTTGACATAAAGAAAATCATTTTGATATCATTTCAACACACTGGAAAAACAAAGGTGTGATAATCCACCTTTCGAGGGGTGTTAAACTCGTTTTAAGGGTGCTAAAGAGTATATTCTCAGTTTCTTTAAAATATTTTCTATATGAGCAAACCAATCACATTTTGAGATTCATTATCGCAAACCTTTACAAAATTCCGCGCCAAACGAGCTTACATGTGATAGGGTACAGATAAGCGGACAGCAAATGAAAAGCAATTCAAAAAGTACAAAAAATGAAATCAATCTATGCCATTTTTGAACAGAACCCCATTGTATGTAGGCTCGTTTGACGCGGAATTTCGCGTAGATTACGAAAATAGGTTTAGTATTTAATTTTGTTCCATGGGAAAGAAATATTTCGAAAAAATATAAATTGTAATGCCTTAGGAGCTTTAACGCCTTTTTAAGGTAGGATATCCTACCTTTGTTTTACCAGTGAACAACATCATTTTGACCGGAGAAATTACATCCATACTTGACGTCAATCTGGTCTTATGATATAACTATGATCTTTTACTCTTGCGATGAATATTACTCCAATCCATGCTTTAGAGAGTGAGATTCCCCGAGAAGTATACAACCTGCCTGTTGACGATAAGCGAAAATTTTCCTGTTTCCTCACTTCCTCTGAGAGGTGCGTGCCCCGTGCACGCGGCACGCGGCCTGCTGGTCCTCGCCTTGAGTGGATGTGGAGACGGGAGTGATAGGCACAGTGTGGAATAAATAATACTACAATCCATGATGAGTCGATTTTTGACTGACTCACATGACTTTGACGTCCACAGCGTGGACCTAACAGACACTTGCGTTACTTTACGTCCAAATCATTGGAGCTAAATTTGTGGACCTGTTCCATCAAGGTGCGATTTTGTTTGACGTACTTTCTGTGGACGTGTCGGTCCCGCCTGGCTTCTAGTTGCTTCCACGATCGGTTCTTGATGCAGGTTTTTAATTAAAATATTTTCCCTTTCAAGTCATTGAGATAGTGATCATTTTTATCTTTTTTGAAACAGACAGATAAATAGCGCGTTAATATTGTTCCAGGTGCACTGCTGCAAAGGTATCGTGACAGGGAAGGCGCTTGATGATGGCGGTCTTGCTGCGGCTGTCTACTACTCGCACTACGTAAGTGAATACTATCCTTTCACCGTGGCGCCCGCTAAGTAGACAACCATCGCGTCACCAGAAGGCTGTGCTCTGGGCGCTGCTGTTAGCCCCGTTGCGTAGGCCACACATCTGGCGCGGCGCGGTGCCGCCCGGCGGCGTAGGCAGACCCCCTACGCTGTGCGCGCTGGTGCAGCTTGGGCTGCCTATGCCGCGCTCCACGGGCGCTTGGAGCAGAAGGGCGCACGCCAAAGTCTCTGAGCTCAGCAACAGCGGGGTATAACTGCTGGCGGCGAGACCCCGCGCGTCCCAAAGATACCCCTTGTTGCTGTGCAGCAGGGCCGATCCTCAAGCGGGACCACCCTTCGTTTAGGGGTTTGCTTCCACACTGTCAAAAAATATTGTCAAATTATCACACTCTTTGTAATGACTAGTTTGTTAAAAAACAGCATTCGTTTTCATTGACACGTGGCAAAATTCCTTCTATTTTGCCCGCAGTGGT